AAGAGAGATTAAAGAGGAATCTGGAGGAAGATAGGACCTATTTTTATTAATTTTTACAAGGAATTTCTCCCAAACACAAAGAAAACACTGAAGGCAGTTAAAAAAATCCTTGTTTGAAAAGTGGCTATAGTATTTGATCTGCCTCCTACACGCTGGCAGCCTGTAAAATAGGAATCATTTAGAAGAAAAGCAGTTCTAGGATCAGCTTCACACTGCCATAGCACCATGAGAAACCTTTGGTTTTCTTTATTTCTACTAGAATAGCTATCCATGCCTGCTCTGCAATCTTATAAACCTCAGAAATTGTATCTGCATATTTATGCCTTAAATATATTTTTAATGAAGGCTTCATGCAAGTAGAGCAATCCTCAGACAATTTTTTAGCTACATGTGGGTGCATGTAGGGGTGCGTGGTCTCATCTGGAAGCAAAGTCAGACAAAGCGGTGTGTTCAGTGGCTCCCTATAGTGGACTTCAGTCTCCCAGAAAGTGAGTAAACAAAAAATTGTATTAGAGGCAATACCTCTTTCAAGGTTTACAATACCATATGGTAGGACAGGAGCTTTTTCTTCAATTCTGTAATGTTTCAGGTTGCTATGAGTGATGCAGGAGATGGGGGTTTGAATGCAAAAACTCTGTTAAAAACTCTGTTAAAGCCAGGAATGAGCCTACTCCCTGCAGACCACAAAAGTTCTGCTTCTCAGTCAGAGCCCTTCCTCTGCCCTGAATTTCTCAGGGTGTTGCAATATGCGTCCTGACACGATACCTGCATGCAGGACAGGACACTTGTTCCTATAAATCCTAAAATACCTTTTCCATCAGGACATTGCTATTCCAGTTCCCTCGGTGCAAACCAGTACCCTTTCCTGCTCCTATCAGCTTGAAAATTTGAGAGGCTCTGGCAAAGGTTACAGGTGTCTCTTGGGTATCACGTTATATCTTCTCTTTTTTCTACCGAGTAGCCAAATTAGCTGTGTGTTTGTAGGAAATCATTAATGCTGCATATTTAGAATTTTGCCCAAAGTATTAGTAGAGTTTACCAGCACTTGCTGTAGATTAAGAATGCAATTAATTCCATTTATTCACCCCTCATAAATGTAGATTCTGGATTTATCTGGCCTAACATTCGCTTAAGTGATGCAGCCGGGACAGTCAGTGACCCTTAAGACCTGCCAACTGTTCATTAACAATCTGAATGTGACTTGCTGCCCTCTGCTCCGCAGCTGTAGTTCAGTGAGCTAATAGTTAATACATTAAGTCACTCTAAAAGATTTAATTCCTCACAAGTAAAACAAATTTAAATGCTGTCTCAGCCCATGATTAAAGCTATTGCTGGCCAGAATGTTGACCTTTAATTTATTTTCTTGGCAAGGAATTCAATCATTATAAATGGATTTGTGTATCTGTTGCTTCTTTGATTAACTCAAATTTTGTGTACATGTAGAAATAAAATATTAAGCTTCTACGGAAGGCTACAGGAAAAAAAAAGCCTGATACCTTGTGTCTGGTGGAATTTGAGCACCTAAATTCTACCTATGCCTATTTGACATTTCTAAATGCTTGTATAAGGGCTTGTATAAGGACTTCTATAAGCTTTCTGCACCCAAGGTCTCTCCCTGAAAGTGGGTTGCAGAGTCAAGCTCTTTTTTTGTCACTGACAAAAAAATGGTCTCTTCTCCCAAGTAACAAGCAATAGGACAAGAGGAAATGCCATCAAGTTGTGCTGTGGTGGTTTAGATTGGGTATTAGGAAAAAATTCTTCACCAAAAGGGTTGTGAGGCACTGCAACAGGCTGCCCAGGGAAGTGGTTGAGTCACCATCCCTGGAGGTGTTTAAGAGACATGTAGATGTGGTGCTCAGAGTCATGGTTTGGTGAGGCACTGGGCAGTGCTACATTAACAGCTGAACTCAATGATCTTCCATTTTTTTTCCAAACCTAAATAATTCTGTGATTGAAAGTGTAAGAAAACAAAACATTATTTGGTGTGTTTTCAGTGATAAGGGTTAGCCTGTAAAATTAGCTTCCCTGCATGACTCAAAATCTATTTCTGTACAGGGGAAAAGTTTCTCTTTAGCATTCTTGGATGACTTTTCCTTGTTTGTTCCATTGTGTGCAATGGTTTTCTTTCTGCTGTTATTTTACACAGGGAGATCAGGGTATTCCAGGGGACAAAGGCCCACAAGGTGAACGAGGGAAACCTGGCCCATCAGGAGAAAAGGGGGATGTGGGTCCTATGGGGCCACCAGGAGACAGAGGGTATCCAGGATCACCAGGTCATCAGGGTCCTCCGGGTTCACCAGGACCCCCAGGGTTTCCAGTAAGTAAATACAGGTTCTTCTTGATTGATTGTCAGAGCAATTGTCGACCAGTACCACAGTATCAGAAAAACTAAGGTATCTCTGAGATAATTTCAGTTTATCCACAGCATATGTTAAAAAAAAACCCCAAAAACACCTGATAATAATCTGAGAGGTAGAAAAAACTTATATCCAGGTGATCAAGCAGGTGGGTTTTGGTTTTTTTTTAACATATGCTGTGGATAAACTTTAGTTATTTATTTCTTTAGCTCCTGATAGATCAATATGGCCTCTCAATACTGGTAATTTTCAACTTTTTCATAAGCTCAAGACCTAAAATGTGTGTCTGCAATTGAGAAAGAAAAGGAGGCAGACAAAAATGATTCCTAATAAAAGGGGAATCAGCATTAAAAAAGACATTGAAATGCTGCGTGTCAGTGTAGGTATCTTGGTTTGTCTCCATGGCACACATCCACGTTACGGGTTCTTTTTACCCTCAGTCAGATAGGGTAAAGCTCTAACGACCTCTTCCAGCGAAGTTACTGGTCCTGTGATGCAGTCTGAGTTACTCAGCGCTGCACCAAAGCCGTTAGTCCCTAGAAGGGGTGAGAAGTTGGGAAGTGCTATGCAGAAGGCACATAAAGCATAGCAGGGTCACTGGATGTACGTACTGTCTTATGCAAATTAATTTCAAAATACGTAACATGCTGATCCTCTTGACACTTGGGAGTGCCTCTTCCACCTCATGGTTATTAGTGGTCTTTATAATATTATAATGCATTTGCAATAAATTTGCCTTCACAGTCAAGTAAAAAACACAAGTACATTGTTTTTGGTGAAAGCTTTACATTTTTAATGCTAATTTCAGCATTTTTTTATTTTTGTAATATCACAAAGTGTCCTCCGTATGTTTCTTCCAATACGTATCACCTTTTTTTTGCCTCATCAGGCTGATACAGTTTCAGTTGAAGAAATAAAAAAATATATCAAACAAGAGGTTCTTAAGGTTTTTGAAGGTAAGAAAATGAAGTGCTATGCAACTAAATGTAAACCTTAAATTTTGTTCTAAATGTTTTATGTCCCCACAGCCTTTATACAGATGACAGGTTCTAATTGCAAGAAGGTAGATTTAGATTGGATATCAGGAAGAAGTTGTTACCAGAGCGGGTGGGGAGGCACTGGAACAGGTTGCCCAGAGAAGCTGTGGATGCCCCATCCCTGGAAGTGTTCAAGGCCAGGCTGGATGAACAACCTGGTCTAGTGGAAGGTGTCCCTGCCCATGGCAGGGGGGTTGGAACTAGATGGTCTTTAAGGTCCCTTCCAACCCAAACCATTCATTAGTCATCTAACTTAGGTTGGACTTAGCAGCTCCCTTGTTGCTGTAGCTGTGTTTAACTGTCCTTTAACTCTACTTAATATAATTATGTTCAAACAATTATAAATTGTAGTATCTGTTAAGCAGAGTATTTCCTCATGTAAGAGATTAGCATTAAAAGGTAGTTTGCTCCATACCATAATAGCAAACACACGTCTTGTTGTAGATACATAAATGTATCATGTATTATTCCAGATACATACGTATCCACAACGTATCATTAGGACATTGAAGATATATTAAGGTGGAGATAATAGAAAAATCTATATATCAATTATTTTGGCCACATAGTGGGTGACTGTCTAAAGGAGAGAAAGGCTTGACAGCTTTCAGTCATGCAGGTCTAAACTGCTGTGCATTTTCAGCAAACCTGAAATCCCTGCCAAGCTCCAAAGCCCCCTTGCAGACCACTAACTTCTGGCACAGTTTTAGGCAAGTACAAGGCCTTTTTTTCAGCCAAGGCCTTTATGGTATGTAAGCTTTCTTAGCTGTGTCCTTACTCTGAAAAGGAAATATTTTCCTTCCCCAGTATTTTCTTAGTCTGGGTGGAAAGGCTGTGACTCAGGTAGGTGTCTGGGACAAGCTTTTGCTAGAACACCTCTTAGCAGTAGCTTCTCTTCCGTTGCAAAACGTGTTTCTTGTGTCTCCAATATGCTTAGCTATTTTGTCATTAATATTTGTGGATACAAAACCTTTTATCTTTTAAGGATAAAAGAAATCATATAAAGCTTGAGACTTTAAAATGTTCGTGCAGTTTTTCACTTTATGACGGGGCTATCATTTTATGTATTTTCACCCTTCCCCAGAGGTGAAATGAATACATTTTGTGTATTTTCACGCTGGGGGCTCAACCTGCTATGTATTCCATGAACAGTTTGTTGGCTGAAGTTACCTCCTTTTCCCATTGAAATGGAATGGTGACAAGTATTTAGTCTATTCCTAAAATGAAAGTATTAAAAGATGTCTTGCCTACAGGGAGTATTTTTTGTTTGGTTTATAGCTATTCCATTTTCTACACCTCACTAGTGTTCCCACAGATTTTATTTTTGGCTTTGTTTCACTTTGCCTATTTTTATCACCCTGCTTATTTTTTGTTTGATGCCTACTCTTCTATTTTTTTCTTAAATGTTAAACCCCACCACAGTAAATACCACTTGAATTGTGGAATGCTTAGTTAAGGTTTTTAATCTGAGCTAAAGGGGACCGAGTCGAGGTCAGTACCTTCTTTGTCTACCTCCAAGGAACACTGAAGTGTTACCAATTGCACTTTTTTCCCACCAGCATGCTAAAATCTCTGCAATTAATAATATTTTCTGAGCACTTAAAAGTTTTGTCACAATGTTTTCAGAGTTTTGTCACATTCCAAGAACTGTTTGCAGTATTTACTGTGCCACTTAACAGGAGTTACAGACATAGCAAGTAGCCCTTCATCGGGTTGTTAAGTACTAATTATTCTGTGTCCATGTACTTCTGTGAACGGGAGTCAGAAGTCATTTGAAGTACTGGAATACATTAGTAGAAGAGAGTACTAACAGAAAATGGAAACTTCAGTACAGATTGTTGTTTAGTACAGAGCAGTACAGCTGGTTTCAAAGGGCAGAGACTCCGGCGTGAGTCTGAGTTGGCACTGAAGACCCCAGTGCTTACGGGAGCGTTTCAGTGCTTACGGGAGCGTTTCAGTGCTTACGGGAGCGTTTAATACCTTGACGGTCAGGAGCATTAAACACCCTACTTCAGAAACGTACTGTAGCTGGGGCTTTGGGATTTGTTTATTTTCCCATATTTTGCTAGCAGATTTCTTACCCACTTCTTCTTCTGCCCTTTGTTAATGAAGAAAGGATGGCTCAGTTTGTATCCCAGCTGAAGCTGCCTGCTGCAATGCTTGCCTCCCAAGCTCATGGAAAACCAGGGCCCCCAGGAAAAGATGGGTTACCAGGGCCACCAGGAAAGGACGGTTTGCCAGGGCCACCGGGAGAACGTGGAATTCAAGGTAGGAATTCCAAAAAATGTTCTATTAACTGTATCTGAAAATATTTATACACTTGCTAATGATTATTAAATAAGCCAGGATTACCTATCTAGCTTCCTAATGATTAACTTTTAAAACTGTACTTATGTTTTTCCAGAGTAGATCTAAATATTAACCCATGATAAATGTGTGGATTTTACTGATTAAAAACTCCTAATCAGTGCATTTTATTCTAATAAATGATAAAGTTAATTACTGACAGATACCTAAAGCTGACATATCTAGACTTCTGTAGCAGTTATTTTTTCACCATAATACCTTAACAAGGACGAAAACCAATGCCAGCACTGTAATGTATCTATTTTGATCCTGTTCCATGTTGAGAGACCATCTTGTTTAAGTGCAAAAATCTGATCTCCAAGTCTGAGTGCTCTCAGCTCTGATCCTGAGACAACACAAGGACGGAAAAACTGAAGCCAAATATTGTTCTTTAAGTAGCAGTGAAAACTGAAATATCATGGCGTAAATCCTTCTTGCAGTGAAGTAATCTATTTTCACAAATCAGTTCCAGAGTAATCAGCTTTTCAGTATAACCCAAACAGTAGTTTGTACATTGCAAGGCATTCAGACAGTACAGGACTCTCATTCCACTGAACTGTCTTTTACTGCAAAGTAAAAGCTTCGGGGGATCCAGGCTCATTGCAGCTCTGCTGCAGAGTCAGCTTGTCAGAGATGGAAAGGAAGAGGAGAACAGAATAAAAGGAAAAAGGAATTTATCAATTAATAATATTTTGTGGGTAACATGTAATTTGCAGTTTATCTGTAGGTAGTTCTTTATTATCTTTTGTTAGTTTGGTCTGCTCTGGAGTCAGAGCAAGTCAGACTGGAATGAAGAACATGAGAGCAAAGCTGAAGATGTGTGGATCCTAAAGCTATCAGAAGAATAAAGACTTACTAACACTGATAAGCGCAAACCCCTGACAGAAGCTTGAAAAATGTGATGAGCTCAGAAAGAGAAGAACAAGAATAAAGGATCGAGGAAAACACTGAAAAACTTAGAATCTTACAACACTGACTTCATCATTACCTAAATATCCAGATCACTGTGAACAGTCAACTTCAATGTCAGTGCCAGATTGTTCAATGATGATGTATGTGGTGGTCAGTCTCAAATGCTTCTGGGATGCGGAATTTTGTGCTAGGCTTCATTCCCAGCTAGTGAGCATCAAGAGTAAAGATGATAGTTGTGCTTGAAAAAAAAAAAATAAAGCTGCTTTTTCATGGCTTATGCTTAAGTAAAAGTAGTGCCCCGTGTACACAGAATTTCCACTTATTTTGCCGATACGCTCAGTACTCTCGATTAGCGAAAGCTAAGTGAGAAGAATTTACTTCTGTGATACATCAAAACATACATAAAATCATACTTCCAAAGAAAGAAAACCAAAAATTTGTCTTGCCTCCTTTTTACACTCTGAGTAAGAGGTAGTACCATGAGAGAAGCACACCTACAGATGCCGTTCATGCCTTTCCCAGTTGTGCCTGTGCGTGTTATTGTTCTGTGCCAATAGTAGAAAGAAATCAAAATCTCTGAGCAGTTCGAAAAATACCCTTCCACGTTCCATCTTATTTTCAGCCATAAAAGGCAGAGCAGACGATAACTCTCCGAGAAGCATGTTACGTGCGTGCGTGGATGAGGGCATGGAGGCAGCATGCTGCGGGCAGTCTGCCCAAGTCGTAACACGCCTTTGCTCCGGAATGCCAGATACCCCTTGCTATACTCTCAGTGGGGCGTAGCCCAGATTGCCAGCTCCAGGCTTTCCATCAGGTTTTGCTGCGTGCAGTGATGCGCATCTGGCCTGACAGGGTGAGTTAGGCACTTGTCCCGTGCAGCCAGTGAAAAGAACTGGAGACGTTTGGAGAGCAAATAACGGATCTCTACGGGCACCTCCAGCGCGATGCTTCGTGCCGACAGGGAGCCTGCTAGAGCCAGCCAGCAGGAAGAGCTGGGCTCACGTGTGTCCAAGGAGGTACTTGCAGCTTTGCAGGGGTCCACCCGTACACCTCAGGTGTGGTGCCAGTTCCCTCAGGAACTGGCCTGGCCTGGCCAGATTCCACCAGAGCATCCGTCTGCACAGCAAACCAGTAGGTAGGGCTTAGTCCCAGAAGCAGAAAACACAGAATCATAGAATCATAGATAGTTGTCTTGGTACAAGTACTTGATACTAAGTCTTGGAATTGCAGGCATAGTCTTCAAAAAGTGTGTTTAATGAATTGCTAGACTATTGGGTATAGTCATTTATTTCTAAAATGAAGTCCAGAATGTTACCTGTTCGCCTTCCACACGGTTGTTCATACTCAGGTGCTTCCCAGTGTTTCAGATACAAATAATGTTGATTTTATGTGGTGGTCTTAGTAAAAATATAGCATGCAAACAAAAAAACCCTAGAGAGTTGGAACATAAATGATTAAATATGCAGTTGGCATTTAAACAGACATATAATAGTGATTGGAAGATATTTATGCTTATATATTTCTTAATTTTAAAAAAATATCCTGTGGCATGTGCATCAGCAGTGTTACCAGTGAAGTGCGCAGCATCTGCTCCCGGGGGAGCAGAGCAACCTGTTTATTCTGTATTTGCTTTCAGTGATGCTGATGTCTTGTAGAGGAACAGAAAGTTCGTTTCAAGACAGGCTATAGCAGTGTCATCCATTTGCCAGCAGTTAACCAGCTTGTCATGTGTTAGAGGATCTAGCTCAGTTAACTCCACTGATTTAACTGGATTTTTAAAACTGTAACAGAAAGTGAATTTTGGTCCATTAGAACAAATTCACCTTGGGTTATTACCCCTTATGTTAATGCGGCTATTGATTTTTTCTCAGTAGCCAAAAGAAGGTTTCATCCTAATTAAACATTGTTTCTATCAAATTAAGGAAACAGAAGAAGTTTCTGTAGGTCCTCGTAACCCATGGTAGCCTGGAGGAATCAAATATTACAGCTTAGGAAATAGTCCAAATTCCTTATATTTCTTGCTGATCTCTGTTGCAAAATGTCTATCTCGTATTATAATTATTAATTTGCATGGCGGGAGCATCTGGAAACCTTGGCTGACACCAGGAACCTGTTGTAAGGGATGTTGTCCCGGCACAGCCACTCTGCAGCAATAGCTGCCCTGGTTTCTAGCGTTCCCTCCTGTAAACTGTTCTTTCATGTGGGAGTTGAGGTTAACCTGGCTTGCTTGGATCTGAAACAGGCTGCTGCCTCTCAGCTAAGAGTGCTGTTACACACAGAGGGAATTCAGAATAGGCACGGGGGGCTGGATGAGGGAGAGGGCTTACTCCCAGCACCCTTCCCACAGCTTTGCAGCTGTTTGTGTGCAGAGACGCAGAGTATTTGCACAGTCAGACACCGTGGATGCCTCCGTCTCGCTGTTTGTTCCCTGTCTGGTAAGGTGTTTGCCTCCGATCCGTGCCGAAGAGCCTCAGATCTCTCTAGGTACTTGACATGCTAGTTTCAGGTGCTGCATTACGCAGACAGGTGGAGGAGGGTCTCCCTGACACAGGTGGAATGCCTTTTGGGGCTGTTCAAGTCAGGGAACTGTTTACCTCCGAGTTCACAGGCGTCAACTTGCATCATTTCCGTGCAGAGCCGAGGGTGTTGCGGTAGCAATGCTCCTGACCGTGAGGTTTGCGGAGGGCACCGGACAGAGCTGTGTTTTAGCTACCACCACTCACCTAGGAGCAGAAGAGAGCTTATTTGGACACATACTTGCTACGTACTGCTACCAAGTGTTTACCCTACTACCCACGTTGGGTACATGTTTACATGCCGCAACCTCGGGGTTGCAGGAATCACAACAAAACCTCTGGAACCCGAGCGAAAGGCTTCGCTAGAGCCTTTTGAATTAAGCAGGTACCTCGTAGTGGATTTGTAATTCTACCAGTAAAAATAGACAGCATCTTATGTGTGCCTTCTGGTAAAACAATCAAAACCTGATCTAAGCGCATGGTAATATTTTCTTTTGGCTGTGAGTTTGTCACTTTAAGCTCAGAGAGAAGGTGATACTATCCTCTGGAAGTGTAGTCATGGCCCTCCTGAGCTAAATATACCTCATTCAAAATCAAATATTCTCCTGCTGCATTTACACACTACATTGTTCCCATTGTTTACATATAGGCCTGTTTACTAATATGCTTACATACCCTGTTAAATAAAGCCTTATTTTTAGAGTTTTTGTATTAAACCTCAGTGTCAACAGAACGTACCTGCCACTGTGTACAAATGACACCTTTGCATGTGAGCTCAGGTTCAGCCAGGGATGGTTTACACTGCCCTGGATCATGCGTTCGCCTCGGCAGGCTGCTCTTGGTGCTATTGTGGGGTTTTTCCCTGTTGTCTTGAGTTCCAGTGATGTTTACAGAACCTTTCAGTCTGTCTCAGTCCTTTCCCAACTATAATCTCTCATATACCTACAGTAATGGTTATCATGGAGCTTGTAAATGTGATATAGCGTAAATGTGATTTCTCTCTTTTCCCCGTAACTAAGGAAATGTGAGACAAATGATAAGTGGCAGCACTATTTTGTAAAATTACAATTAACTGGGTTTGTAGTGAGAATGTACTGTAACTCTCTATTGTAAAGTGAGAAGCATAAAGTTTCGTGTAATAAATAGGAAATGTAATAGCTCCTGTGGTTGTGTGATTGAGCTTCTCAAACAGTAGCAACTCCTCTGCGTTACACAAGATGTTCAGAGCCAACCCGCTTGCTGTAGTTATAAATACTGTGATGGTCATCAGAGAACAAGATCAAGGTTCACAGTTGAATACGAACACCTGCATATTCCCTTTTCTGAGTCTTCGTTGCATGTGTGTGTATATTCCTCGTACAATCCTGCTTAACACAACTCAGTGAGCGGAATGCGTGCTTAATACTTGGTTTCTCTGCGAGCTTTTAAACAGTTGGTTTCCCTTTCTTCTGTTACGCATGTCACTCTGCATGCATTTCTAACGTTTTTGCCTCCCGGTGATTCCCTGTTGGGGTGCTGAGAGAAGAACAAGGTAATTGGTGCTCTGTTGTGAAACGTAGAATGATTGCAGCAGGGAATAGACTTTCTGCCGCAGTGTATCATGAGCCTTGCGTTTAACAGAAAGCTTGAATACTCTGTGTTCTGTTCCTACTGCATCCTGTCTGGTGTGAGACCCCTGAATTGGTACCCACAGCACATACAGCTGCCCGGTAAAGTACCCCAGTGGCCACCGACCACAGACAAGACCACCTTTCCCATCCCTCCGCCAGTGCCCAGTAACTTCATGAGACATCAGGTGGATTGCTATCACTGCGGTCAGCCGCGGCTCCTCTCTTGTAATTCCAGCTCACTTACAGCTCGGCACAAGAGGATGTTTATTGTACGGCGTACGTGACGCTGGGCCCTGAAGCAGAACAAATGTAATTCCAAACACGATCAGACGTTGGCAAGTTAATCTTCAACATACGTCACCTTTCACGCCAACATCTGAGGCCTTGGGGACGGGAAGAGGGTTCCCTTAGAATCCCTTCTGAAGTAAGGGATTGTGGCAGGTGTCACGCTTGTTCCTTTAATGTCGTCTTCATCCCGTCTTGCATAAATTACGTGGTCTGAACAGAAAAGCTACATTTTTAGATGATGGATTTTTAACCTGAAATATCAAAGCAAAATGCTATAGTGATACCCACAAGTCTTCTGCCAGGGTGTATCTAACTTATAATTTTTGGTTTTTACAAAGGATTTTAAGGAAAAAGCACAGGTTGGGCATGAGTTGCAGCACTTGAGAAGATGGAAACTATTTAGATAAATACAATGCTATGGTCTGTGAAGAAAGCTGCCGCAGCTACTCAAAGTGTAACTAGTAATTGCACCTCGTTTACAACACCCTGGCACCTGGGGCAATGTAGGCTTTGCACAAGCTCTAAAAACGCCTCCTTCCACCTGAGGGCAGCTCTGTAAGGCTGGAGCGGGACTTCTCCCCCGTATGGGGGAATACCTGCACGTACAGCTCCCAGGTTCCAGGCTAGAGACGTGCAGACCTACAGCGAGATGTACTGCGGGGAGGGTGAAGTCTCGCTCAGTTGTGGGCTGTCAGGGAAGGGCTGGTCAGAATCCAGGGGGCCCTTGGGTTGGAGCTTCATGTCACTTCATCGGACAGGTAACACTGGAGCATTCAGTTTGTTATTGGAGGAACTTCAGGAAGGTAACAAGGTCTCGGGGAAGGGTCCTGCTAAGGGACGGAGCGTGGGTCCTGTGGGAGAGGATGCAATGGTTACTGCTAGAAATCTTCGTATTGTGCCAAAGGAACATATAAATATAAGAATTGTCTCAGAAAAAGAACTTAGCATGCGTTTTCCCTATTAATTTTGTCTTGAGAATTTTCTGTCAACGAGATATGTGGAAGATCAGTGTTTATAATAAGAGGACGCTCTTATTTTCATGTCTTTATTCTGTGTAGGTTATAGAGGACAGAAAGGGGAAAGAGGCGAGCCTGGAATTGGACTGCCCGGTAACGCTGGACCACCCGGCCCTGCAGGTACAGGTCTCCAGATCTATTTCTGCTCTTGTCATTTATGAACTAACAGGCCTTTCTCCTGGTTCTCACGCCGGTTTTACGCCAGTGCCTTTGCTCCCGAGCTTGGCCGTAGCGTGCGGTCAGACCCCCCTGCCTTCTCGCCGATGAGCGGGCGTGCAGCTGACGGTGGACTCTGCTAATTCTCCCTTTGTTTTACCAGCTACTGGCCTGCCAGGACCACCGGGAACGCCAGGCTCACCTGGACCGCAGGGGCCACCCGGACCCAACGGAAGATGCAATCCGGCAGACTGTTATTACCATCTATCACAGACTCGGTCACGCACCAGCGGGAAATAAAAACCCTCTCCCGTAGACACTTGGGTTCACAGTCACTTTTCACTCCTCTCAATAAGTTAATTTAATCTTGGGAATACTTGGTGCATTTCCCCCTGCCCCGACACTGCATGGTATATAGATAATTTATAAGGCACAGAATTGAGCCTTTTTCTGTTCTTTGCAGTGTCATAATTATGAAAGGATGACATTTATTTTCCAGAGTGCATTCCATGCGTTATGTTTCTCATATTTATTTTACTTAGAGGAGAAAATAGGCCCAAATAATTTTCATAAGCTTCTTTCTTCAAACAAAAGATATTTTATTATGACTTAAGACTGTATGCCGCGGTATGTAAGCTGGCTTTATTTTTCTTGCTGGTGGTGAAGTTTAAGTGGAGAAAATGCATTTCTGACATTTTAAAGCGTACCTGTTCGTGGCAAATGCAGGACCTGAGCTGGAGCGCTGGGAACTCAGTTTAGACTGAACATTCGTGTCCCTCGAGGAGGCTCCGGCACACCTTTTGAACCGAGAGTGTGTCGTGCGCTACGAGCGCTACCTGCCGTTTCAGTCGCTGCCTAGATGTTGAAGAAGGCAGTGAAGATGTGTTTATGATCTCTCTAATCCCATCCAACGTTTAGCTGCAGACTGACTGGAAATTCGCCAGGTGTAGCCTTGGGAAGCCTCTCTCCTGACTGGATGTTGTCCCAGCTGAGGGCTTGTACGTTTGTTTAGTCGTGGTTCCGTATACTCCAGATACTACAGTGGTAGGGGCTGGTGCTGGTGTCCCCAACTGAGAACTGGCACGTCTTCCAGCCGTGGTGGTGTATCATTGACTGCAGTCAAGCCGCGCTGCCGCTACGCCCCTTGCTTCGGAGAAGTGGTGGGTACGCAGTGCCACGGTCCAGGAAGGTACTTCACGAGCCTCTGATCGTATTGTTGGCACAGTTTTCCTCTTCCTGCTGCAATAATCCTGTGCCAAAACAAACTTGAGAAGAATGTGGAAACAGTGGAATGCAAAGCTCACGGGTCATCCTAACGTTGCAAAAACTTACTGTGGGTTCACGAGAAATTTGGGAAAAATGCAAAGCCCTCCTTGGAAAGGCGCAGTGCGGGGCGTGACTGCGTGCGGATTGCAGGCATTCAGTAAATCCTGCAGGGCCTGGCGTCGTCAGTGAAGGACAAAACAGAACAAATTGGACATCCTCCGGAGCTCAAAGGATTGGGCAAAAGAAAAGATGGAGAAAATCAGTCACACAGAGGCTGATTCTGAAAAGGAGGGAAGAGGGTTGCCCAAAGTTTCCATCCTGATTATTAGGAAACAGGTGATCCTGGAGAATTTGCTACAGTACAATGGAAAGTGAAGTCGCTGTTGAGCAGAGGTGGACGGCTGCAACCCACAGCCTCAAAATAAACCCACAGTACAAAAGCCACAGTGAGGGCTCTTGCCCCGCCAGCTCTCCTCTCCCGTGTCAGGCTGGGAAGTGGTTTTGGTGACTTGGTGCTTGAACGGTACTGACCTGCCAGGGATGCGCTCCCAAATTGGAACTGCTGGGATGCAGGGAAGCTGTTGTGAGACAGAAATCTGTCCGACTTCTGGGTTTTGCTTAAAACCAGAAAGGAATGACTGCTGGGAGTCTTTAAAAAAAAGAAGAAACACTCTGGCATTGGATCTGAGTAGAGTTCATTGCACTTGCATCCAGACCGGAGGAGCCAGAGGAGTGCAGGAGGGGATGGAGTTGACCCAGGTAGCTGGGAGCATGGGCAGGCATCGGGCAGATTTCGGAGACCGAAAGCGAACCTGCAAGGCATCTCAATCAGGTGTTTGGAGGGAAGAAGGTGCTTGGCACAAGAAGTTTAAGCAAACACAGCGACCGAAGGCTGAGGGAGAACACCTGGGAGAGGAGAGGACAGCGGGGAAGACAGCAGCAGACCGGTGGTGTACCATGAAGCCGTTCCCTGGAGAGACTCTGCAAGCTGTCACACACCCTGCAGCTGGGGACCCCTTTTGGGGGGGTCAGGGTGCTTTGTCCCGCAGGAGTTTGGGCATGGACAGGTCAAAGCCATGGGCGAACCACAGTCCTCACGCCTCCTTTTCCGCTGTCCCTCCGGAGGCAAAGGCTGCCCCTTCTCTATGCCAGCACATCCGCTGCTCTGCGGGAAGCGGGCACCCATCCTGCGAGCTGAAGGTGCCTTTGGAAGACGTGGCTTGTGCCTGTGCTTAGCCCAAAACACGCTGCTCCCGTTCCAGACCTCCTGTGCCCATGGAGCTCGTCTTGGCTTGCTTGTACTGACCACCTTTCCGGATCTGCTCCTTGGAGTGCCACAGCTCTGCTGACGCCGGGGACTGCTGTGGCGGCCTGAAACCAAGCGTGTGTCTGTCCCGAGGCACCTACCGCCGTCCGCGCCACGGGTCTGCCAGCCCAGCAAGTGCAGCCGGGGCCTGGCACCGCTGCATGTACCAGCGTACATGCACCAGAGGAGGACCAGCCCCTCGCCCTGTTTTCCGTTCAGTCAGATGAACTGCTGGTCAGGTATCTCGCATGAACACTTTTTTCGTGGATTTCTTTTGACTTCTTTAGCAATTCCAGCATATGTAAAAATCTAGATATTTTTTTACTTCTTAAGTTAATTTTAAACTTCATTTTCCGTGCTCATATTGAAAGGGGTGCTGTCTCGTGAAGGATGCCCGCCTGACCGAGAGGTTCCCAGCAGCCCCCGTCCTCCAAGGCTGTACATAGACTATTGCGCCGCGGTCGTGGTATCTGTATATTTTGGGGCTTTTAGCTTGCTGAAACCCAGCGTCTGCTACTTGCCCGACGCAGTCGCTCTACGTTCATTTACTTGAACTTACCGGAGAGCAGAACACTTTTTATATTTGAAGAAGTTTATTTTTTCACCTATGTTTCCTACAGATGACTTTTTCTTTTTATAGGCTCAGACCTAAAGGTCTTTTAAAATGTATTTGAACACTTTGAATTGATTTGCAGGTAATTATCTTGTTGCATTATTTGATATTTTCCTAACAGCCCACTTTAATTTTCTCACGTGAGAAAACGGGTATTTTGTTCCACGGGCTATCTCAATACTTTCTTAAGGACGCCGCGTTCTTCGCTCGGGTAGAGCAGAGTTAATCCCAGCTTAACTTTCCTTCACACTGGGTTGCTCCTACTCCCCATTTTTAGAACTGAAAGCGGAATGTAGCCGGAAACGTGCTTCTGCGTGGTTTTCTGCTTCGGCCCCTGCGATTTCTTTGCGGTTTCAGACTGAATGTTGTCTTGGGTTTTGGGAAGGAGAGGGCAGAGGGGCACTCGCCTGTTTCGCCGTTTGCTTTGTCAATGTTTGAGCCGTCTGCCCTACAGGAAAGTATTGCACGGAACGAAACACGGAGAATTATTGGGGTTTTTTCCAGTAGCACAAGATATTTTTCCGATTTGGGAATGTTTACGTAGAACAGGACTTTGAACTGAACTGTCTTTGAGAAAGTGGTTTAAACCTTCCTTAAAAGCTCTGCAGGCATTCTTCGTGGCAAGCCCTGACGCGGTGCTGCGTAGACTCAGCACGACAGTCAGTGCTGCTCATTTTGTTCTTGAGCCTGACTTTATTTTTGTTCTCTAAAACCCACTTCATTTTGCATGGTAGTATCTGCAGGAGTACTGCCGTTTGCCTTTCTTGGATAATTATTTCGGGGTGATAATTGCTTAGTTTTTACTTGTGCTCTGTATATACGCATGCTACAGGAGAATATGCAGCGGCGGGACGTCCTGCTTCCCGGCGTCGTTTCTGTCTGCTGTCACGACGTTTGTCCCGCGGGGAGCAGGGAGTCTGCTGTGGTTAACAGAAGTTACACCCGCGTACGTGCTCTGATCGAGCAGCAGTACAGCCCAGTAATGTTTTAAGAACCAGTATTTCTGTCTTAAACTGGATTTGGTTTCGGTGCCGAAAGAGCACAGTGACAGGGACACGGGTCGTGGTGGTGTCGTCCATCCCTCCTTTACGTTTCACGACGGTGGACTGTGACAGGTGTTAGATATGCACAGCTTTGTTAAACCTGCGTATTTTTAGAGATGTTTTGGCACTTCTTCTTTTCCATGAGGAGGAAATAACGATTTTTCACATCAGCGAATACTCAGTATTTTTCGTCTTTTTCTGTCATGTTTGCCTCAAAGTCTTGTAAAAACCCCAGGGGCTAAACTAGCATTTCACAAACCTGTTTTTCCAGGTATTCTGCATAACCCCAGCCCCTAACCCTGCATTTTACCAGTGCAGCAGAACCGCTGCTCCGACCTGACATGTTAGTAGAACCTGAGAAGTCTCTCACGAATCAAAACAGGGTTGGTTTGCATTTTTTAGGTTTTTTTAATCGTGCTTTTTGTTAGATTCCGGAGGTACCGAGTCACGCAGGTTTTATCTGTTACCTCCACTACAACTGGAGTGCACCGGGTGGATGTTTAAATCCATCTCCACACATGTAGGTGGCTGTAGGCCAGGGAGAACAAGTTTAACCGTGACCTTGGGTTGGTGTTCCCTGGTTGGGAAAGCCCAGCCTTAAGGAAATGCAGTTTTCAAATATTAAAAGCCAACAAACATTACAGGTTCTAGACCAAAAGGAGTTTGTAGCTGAAAAGAATGTAGCCTACCTGTCTTTTAGCAGTTTTATCTCCAAGTCTGCTGTTCTGTAAACACGAATGCATTTATTTATTTACTGCGGTTTCGATGTAAATATATTCTCTCTCCAGTCAGTCTGTTTGAAGGATTTTCAGTGACGTTACCTTATTTTATTGTTTTCTCTCATTTCTGAGTGATAGGCAGCTCTGAATGAATCACAGTCCATGCCGACAGGTTCCTTCTTCTCTTCATTGTATTTTTGGGTTGCAACATTTGAGGTTCGGTTCAGTGGAAGTGTATTAGGCGGATAGAAAGTTGCTTTTTACACTATTACATGGCCGTTTCCATCAGGAATAGGATTCTGGATGGAAATGGAAATGTTTTGCCTACTTTCTGTTGGTGGATCTGTCAGGAATGACCACTTTTCCGTCCGTGTCAGAGCACGAGAGGGAGGATGCAACAGCGAAGGGCAGGAAGGAGAGGCACAAAGCCACCGCCGCAAGCCCTGGGGAGCGTCTGGCGCCGGGGCTGGCTGAATGCAGCAGGTGGGGTTGGTTTTGACCACACCAGAGAATCCTCTTGGAATCACAGAGTGTGTTGAGTTGGAAAAGACCTTAAAGACCATCTAGTTCCACCCCCCCTGCCATGGGCAGGGACACCTTCCACTAGACCAGGTTGCTCAAAGCCTCATCCAGCCTGGCCTTGAACACTTCCAGGGATGGGGCATCCACAGCTTCTCTGGGAAACCTGTTCCAGTGCCTCACCACCCTCTCCAGGAAGAATTTTTACCTGAAATTCCAGGGTAA